AGTAGTCTTGAGGTATATAAACATCGATTTTTTGGAGTGAGATCTTCAGACTTTCCCAGCATTTATCAGAGGTAGACATTTTTTCCCACCATTTCAGTTTATCCAAATATTTTATGCCTTTCAAATAGTGACCTCGGACAAGCATTAGCAAACCATAAGCATACATACCGTTTTTATTATTTCCAAGAGCAGCAAGACGGAAACGACGAAGACCTTTGCGTTCTTCCTTCTTGACAAAATACTGTAATAACCCTTCAATATAGTAAGCTTCGATGTTAAAATTCTGTAAGCAAAGTTCCTTTAACTTTGCATGATCATCGACCATCACTAGTGGCTGAGCAACAAAATATCCGAGATCCATGTTTCGGAAATAATGTCTGCGATCTACATTCGAGTCTCCACTCTCCACGTCGTTCTCAGAGACCGCATTCGTATCGTTGGTGTAGTTGCCATAACTGTCATCGGTGTGGTAATTCTTCACAGAGCTCTCAGAACCCATTTTGATTTCTTTTTTTTTCACTACTCTCACTCTTCTGATTAGTGGTGTGAAGAACATAGATGATTCCTTAAATAAGAAAGTGTAGAAGAATATATGAAAACATAAAAGAATTGATACATAGAAATTTCATCCCTTTATTGGAAATTGCATCTAATCTATGATAGTCTAACCCACTCACTTGAAAAAGCAAAAAACTGAGGAACACTGAAAAGAGAAGAAGACAAATCACGATACAGGTTTGCTCAATGTTGCTCAATGTTATTTTCGAAGACACTGTTGCTCAATGTGTTGTCACATAATTTTGAAAAAAAAAAGATGATGTAAAAGCTGATAACACACTGATCAAAAACTAACATTACTACCATCTCCCTAGGTAAAGACAACATATCAAACTTCTATTGCTTGACACAACACTGGAAAAGTTAACTTTTCTGCCTATTCTCTACCTTACATTCAGTACATGCAAACAAAATTCATGTACTATTATCAAGACTTCAAACTTTTACTAAACCTTACGTAACAAGATGAGAAACATATCTCAAAATTAGTATAAAAACAATAATATAGAATAATTAAATATAACGTATGTTATTGTTTTTAATATTTTGTTAAAATGTAAAATTCACATGAATCATTCGGTGTGAATCAAGATCAAAACAATAATATACAATATGTATATATCTCATTAATAAATAGACATAAAAGATTTGATTCTCACAAATGTGACATTTTGTTATAACAGAAATTTTACATATTGTATATATTAGATATCAATCAAGATAAACAGAAGACAATATGTATATATCTCATTAATAGATATACACAAAAGATTTGAGAATCACGAATATTAGACATTTTGTTAAATATACTAAAACTTTTATACAAAAAAAAGTAAATTTTTCTTATTGTATATATGTATATACTACATTAATAGATAAACACGAATGAAAGCAAGATTGTGTTTCTTATTCGTTTCCACCTATGTTAACGGCAATATTACATATTTTAAAAATATATATGATGCGTTAGATATGAAAAAAGATTTTGTTAAATATACTAAAAAATTTATACAAAAAACGTAAATTTATCTTATTGTATATATGTATATATCACATTAATAGATAAACACAAAAAAAAAAAAGATTGTGCTTCTTATGTGTTTTGACCTATTTTCTTATATATATATATATGATCCATAGTTTTCTAATTGACTACAAATCAAAAGTTACTTAAGTTCTCTAAAAATTATTGCAATGTCGACTCTATCTCAAAAAAAAAATACATTCGTTCTTCTCAAAAAAATTGATCCTGCTGATGAAACACAAAAAATCAAAGTCAAGGTTCTGGTCCTCTGGAATACCAACAAGACTTATGAGATGGTGTTAATCGATGAAGAGGTTTCTTATAAGATGTTAATTATTTACGTTCATGATATCTTGAAAGTTCTTCTAATTTTTTTTGTGTACTTATAGGGGACAAGGATTCATGCTCAAGTTGAAAAAGACTTGATGAAGAAACACCTAAATATTCTGACAGAAGGTCAAGCTGTGACAATCAATGCTTTCCAGTTGAAGGACTATGTTGGGGAATTTAGAACCAATCCTCATCCTTATAAGATAACATTCTTCAGAACAACTAAGGTGAAACCATCCGATGATTTTCTAGAGTATTATCCAGAAAAATACTTTTCAGACTTTCAAGATATATTATCCGGAAAGCTAGACCGAAACATCTTTGTTGGTAAGTTAACATATCTTTTCGTACGATTTCTAATATTTCCAAAATATATAATACATGCTACAATATTTTGCAGATGTTATTGGTCAAATTGTCAATATTGGACCAATGGAGAAGATTAAAACACAAGGAAAGGATAACTCCAAACTTGACAACAATAAAATATTCAGATGAAGAGTTTACCAAACAAGCAAAGTGAACTACATAAGCCATCCAACAAAGTAGAACTGGTACGAATATGATAAACATAACAAATAAGCAAACTGAGACACTTAATAAAACGAAATAAACATGAAACAAACACAACTATTTCACATATGTTCCTAGATAAATTCTGTCACAACATCCCTTGCTTTAGGGGTTACTCTTAACAAACTGGAAAAATTGGTGAAGCCTTTTGTAGTAGTAACAATCCTTGCATACTTTAGCCATGTTTTCGAGATTGCAATTTGTTAGTGGCTGAAAGTTTACCATATTCATATAGTAATCTCGCTCCATAAAATTTGGGATTGTACTTAGTGTCTTCTTCACTCTTTCCTAGCAATGATCCGAGGTTGATACTTTATTTTCCCAATCAAGTTTATCCAAATACTTTTTCCCTTTCCAATAGTAACCTAAAGCAAGCATTAACAAACCGTAAAGATACGTACCGTCTCTATAGTTTAGCCTGGACGACCTGCGTATAAGATCAAGACCCCAAACTTTGTTTTTGTGGAAGAAATACTGAAGTATGCCCTCAATATAGTATGCCTCCGGGTTGTCATTCTCCAAGCATTTTTCCTTCAACTTCGGATGCTTAGTGAGCATTTCCATTGGTTGCGCAACAAAATATGAAAGGCTGAGGTTTTTGAAGTAGTTTTTTGGATCAGAACTTGAGTTATTTGAGTCTTCAGAGCTCTCACAGGTCTGATCATGTGTATTGTAATTCTTCACCGAACTTTCAGATTCCATCTTCCCCGAACTGCCTTTGGAACTCTTTTCTAAAATAGTATATATTTTTCCTGGTTCGTTTGTTGCAAGCAATGAAATAATTGCTCTATACGTTTTCAAAGGATGAGAGATAGTTATAAAGAGCTTTATTTGAAAAAGATGTGATAGCACATGAAGTTAGCCTGAAGACATGAAAGGCCTATTTTAACTTCATTCATATAGTATTGTCATTTCACTTCCAAAAGAAACCTGTTGCTTTAGAAGCATGCTTCTTCCAGCAATAAGTGTCGGGTATAGTGAACAAAATACCCGAGATGAAGACAAAATATTAAACTCCAAATGTTTGACACAACACTGCACACGTGACACTTTCTACCTATTATCTACATTTCATTCATTACATCCAAAAGAAATTATATGTAGTATTATTAAGACTTTAACCTTTAATAAAACCTTAGAGAAGAACATGAGTAACATGAGAAACATATTACAGAATTAGTGTGCTCCTTTGCACACTTATGTAGAATATGAGAAATATATCTCAATATATGTTCATCCCGCGCATGCGCGCGGGCGAGTCACCTAGTTACTACAATTAAACCGTACCATTCTCTGTTGTATTATTATCAGTTAACCTTACCGTGTGGTCTATATATGTGTATGAAAGATATATATTTATATATATATGACAACTATTGCATCACTATGAATTCACATACAAATAATTGGTGTCTATTATTAATCACTAGGTCTGTTGGATTTGGTGATGTGTTTAGTTCAAAACGTGTGGGTACAAGTTAGATTTTCTTCGATTTTAATCAGCTCTTTAATCATGTGATGTTTGGGGAGTTTTCTAAAGAAGTCTTAGAGTTTTAAAAGAAATAATGTGGGTTGCATAAGTTGGGAGGAAATAACAAACTACAAAGTCAACATATTTAATTACAGCATTTTTATAAGGAACCCATTATTAAGGCTTAATATTTGACAGTGCATGTATTTACTATGATAATACATTTGTTTTACTATGTAATAAAATTTAGACCAGAAGACTCGATTTGGCCTGAGGTGAAGAGCTGATTACCGAGCACCAATGGGCGTCCAGTCGGTTATACTGAACGGCGTGCAAGTTTCTTTGTTTGGCTGGTTTGATGATGAGGAACCAATCACAAAACGATTTCTAGTGACGAAAGAACCAGGACGTTCAGGTTGATTCATCTCTGTTTTATCGCTTGTGAGCATCAAAACAACAGACGACATCAGCGGTCTATTATCTTTAGATTCTTGAACACACAGGAGACCAATATGGATGCATCTTAAAGCCTCACTTGGTCGAAATGTTGATGATGAATCAACGATAACAGGATCTACGATATCGAGCCCTTTTCCTTCCAACCACTGCTTCCATATCTGTTCATAAAAAACTAAGTGTTTTGATCAATCAAACAAAAAAAAAAAAAAAAAAATGACAACAATAGAACTTGATTTGTCAGACTCACATAGACGAGAAGGCTTTCCTCGTTGTAGTATAAGTATTCGTTGTTTCTTTTCCCAGAGATTAACTCAAGAAGCAAGACTCCAAAACTGAAAACGTCTGATTTTACAGAACATATCCCATCTAACGCGTATTCGGGAGGCATATATCCGCTGAGTAACGAAACAGTACACTTGTGAGACTTGAAAAAAAACTGAATTATTCTATATATCCAAAAATGTTGGTGGTGCTGCTTACAAAGTTCCGACCATATTCGTTGTACTAGTAGCTTCTGTCTCATCCCTTGTAAATAGCTTACCCATCCCAAAATCGGAGATTTTCGGTACCATATCTTTGTCAAGCAAGATGTTGCTCGGTTTCAGGTCCCTGTGGAGAATACGATACCGAGAATCTTGATGAAGATATAAAAGTCCACGAGCAATACCATTAGTAATATCCAATCGCTTCTCCCAATCAATCTTATAGCTTTTGGTTTTGTCTACAAAATCCAAATTAATTTTGTTTTTATTTCCAAATAATAAGCATTTAGAAAACAGAAAGAAAAAAAAAAGTAGGGCACTTACTGAAAATATAAGTATCGAGACTTGAATTCTCCATTAGTTCAAAGAGTAGAATCATCTCCTCTCCCTCGAAGCAGTACCCAAGTAGCGGGACGAGGTTGACATGTTGAACGCTGGCGATCAAATTCACCTCGTTGGTGAACCCTTCGATCCCATGAGCTGATCTCACCAACAGCCTTTTAGCTGCGATTGCTTGCCCGTCAGGTAACATCCCCTGCTACCAGTTAGGCAGTTGCCACGTACGTGTTTTATATTTAGTTTCTGGGAGTCTAACTAGCCCAGTGATATATTTTCTATATACGATTATACCTTGTAAACAATACCGTAACCACCTTGTCCTATCTTGTTGCAATCAGAAAAGTTTTCTGTGGCCTTGGCAACATGTACTAGCTCCATCGGTACACACTGTAAATTCCCTATATATATATATATATGTGTGTGTGTATTATGATCATTTAAAACCCTTTTATCTATTCAGACAGGAGATAAAAATAAAATAAACAAAGGTTATCTCAGGAATACCAATAGGCGGTGCAATTGTTCTTGTTGGAATCCTCTTCTTTCTTCTTTTCCAGAAACAGAACAATATGAAATTGACACCCAGAAGAAACACAATGCAGATTCCAACAATCAACATTATGTTTTTTGCACTCATTCTTCTTGCATTTTTGTTTGCATTTGTTACCGCTAAAGAAACAAGTCAAAGATAATCAGTTTGCCAGTGATAGATTCTAAAATGAAAATATATCTATATTCTTTTTTTTTTATTTGCATAACTTACAGATATCAGTGGCTGCCAATCTAACATATAGATCTTGACCGGGAATCATGCTCTTACGAAGATCGAGGATTTCTCCCACCCAAATCACACAGCTATTTTGCATATCCGGGTTAGCAAATGCAGTACAATTGCAATTCCTAATGCACTCTTCTTTGCATTCCTTCAACCCAATAGTCCTGAACACAATAGACTTTGTAATATCCGGCAACTTCATTTCCCTAAGCTTCTCAAACCCATCTCCAAAGCAATTAAACTGAGTCTTTCTCGTACACCCACCTGTCCAGTCTTGAAAACCCCATGCTTCTTGGTCTCTCGGCTTAAATCCATGAATGCAATCACAGTTTCGTGATCTGCTTGTGTCACATATACCATTTGGTCCACATTTATTGTAAAACCCGCATGCATCATGCGGTAAAGTATGATCTACGCGTGTCCACACTTGTTGTGGTTTTGGCACCCAAGTTGACCGCTTCAACACGCCGTTGTCGGTCAATCTCAATATGGAAAAGAAGGTTTTTTTAGTGATTGTGAAGAAATATGTGGCCTCTTCTTTGGTTGCGGTAATGTTGTACGTCACGTAGGTAAAGTTTCCACTCTCATTTTTAATCTTCCATGGTCCACTCCGGAATGTTGGTATACCCTTCTTCCGAATGACACTCTGCACGAGCTCATGACGTTCCACTCCATAGGTGACTTCTCCTGATGACGGATCATCAAAGCTTCTCCAAGATTTCAAGACCCTATTTATATTCGATTTGGCATCAAACCCTAGTTTCATATTGGAAACTAAAGCATCTGTAGGAAAATCAAAACTTTGCCACAAATACCCAGTTGATGAATTGTTGTTGAAGTGTCTTAAAACGAGATTTCCGCTGTCCAATAGCTCACCGACAACTAGTGGTTTCATGAGATTTGTGCTAGTCCTATTGGTCCACCAGACGCGGGTACCGTGTTGATCAAGGAGTACCAGGTTCGTATCCAAGATTTTGATGGTTCCGACGGGCTTCGAGATCGGGTTGTCTCTATTCGCAACCCATACGACTTCCTGAGGAAACCTGTGGTGCCATATGCCGAGATACCAGCGGTTAGCTACTCCGGAAGTTGTTGACGGTTTAAAGAAACCAAACACAAAGACTTTTTCTGGGGACAAGATGTTTCTTCGAGTAGATATCTTAAACGGCTCTGTCGATTCAATTTTCGAATCACATTTTGTGGAAATATGGAGAACAAAGATGAAGAAGATATGTACCTTCATCTCTCTTTTTCTTATGATTTTTTTTTTCTTTCGATTAGACTTTGACGTTATAAGTATATTTTTTTTGTTCGACACTAAGTTCAGTCGGACCAAATATGCTTTGAATTTCCACAATATTGCTTTGACTTTTACAATCTGTCTATATTAACTAATTTGAACGCAAATGATAGTAAAACTACATGTGCAATTAATTTATTCAAGAAAAGCATAGTATACGATGTAATACTGTTGAGTAATGTCACTTAATCAAACCAAATCAGATGAAGAAAGGTAACTAAATTGTCTTGTAGTTTGGTTTAGTGAAGCTGTCAAATCTCTGAAATAACACTATAAGAGAACTCCGCATTTATTAGTAAATTTTACTAGGAAAATCGTTCCTCGTAAATTTACGACAATATTACTTCGGTTTTACGAGAAAAGCTAGTAGCAAAGTAAGTTCCTCGTAAACAAACGAGAAAAATGTTTCCTCGTAAGGCCATAGTAAAATTACGAGGAAACTACGTGGCAAAAAAACAATTCCTTGTAAATTCGTAGTAAAACTTTTCTTCGTAAATTCCACGTAAAACATTACTACGAAATTAGGAGGAAAAGTTCTTTTACTTCTAATTAGCGAGGAACTGGCTAAAAAATATCTATTTTAAATCTAAAAATGTGTTTTGTACCTACTTTTCCTCGCAATTTCCTAGTAAATATTCAGATTCAAAAATTTCTACAAATACCACCATTTGTGATTCATTTCAATGACACAAAAAAATCAGCTTTAAGCTTGATCACAGAAAAAAAAAATGTCCGGTCCTGGAAATATTTTCGAGTTGCGGAAGTGGATGTAATCACACAGAGATAATAACGAGGGAGTGACGAAAGAGTTTCTCGAAGGGTTGGAGACGTTTATGCATCAAGCAGATTCTACACCACTCACGCAGGAAAGTGGTAAGATATTCTGTCATTGTCGGAAATGCTGCAATACAAAATTAGGCCCTTGTGAAAATGTTTGGAAGCATTTAATAAATAGAGATTCATGCCATATCATTATATTTGGTATCAACATGGAGAAGACGATAGTTGTAGGAATGAAGCAGCCGTAGTAATAGCAATTTTCAGGTTGAACGTGATCATTTGCATAATGAAAATAGCTATCACCAGGAGGAACATATGGTAGATTGTGATAGGGTTCATGATATGACAGGTGATGCATTTGTAACTTATGATGATGATGAAGTTGAAGAACCTAACTTAGATGCAAAAAAGTTTTATGAAATGTTAGAAGCTGCGAATGAACCAATTTACAGTGGTTGTAGAGAAGGTATGTCTAAATTGTCGTTGGCTGCTAGAATGATGAGTATTAAAACCGATCACAATCTACCTGAAAATTGTATGGATGCATGGGCAGACTTGTTTAAAGAGTATTTGCCAGAAGACAATGTGTCTGTTGAATCTTATTATGAGATTCAGAAATTGGTATATAGTCTTTGGTTGCCCTCGGAGATGATAAATGTTTGCATCGACAACTGCATGATTTACTGGGGGAGATGATGAGAAGTTAGAAGAATGTCGATTTTGTAAAAAACCACGATTCAAACCGCAAGGTCGAGGGCGTAATAGGGTACTGTAGGATGTGGTACCTACCAATCACATACAAATTGAAAAGATTGTACCAATCTGAGGAGACTGCTGGAGGGATGAGATGGCACGCCGAGCATACTCAGACGGATGGAGAGATGACTCATCCATCAGATGCAAGAGCTTGGAAACATTTTAAGAAAGTGCATCCACATTTCGCTAGCAATAGCCGGAATGTGTATCTTGGATTATGCACTGATGGATTTAGTCCATTTGGAATGCGAGAGAGACAATATTCATTGTGGCCAGTCTTTCTTACACCGTACAACATGCCACCGGAGATGTGCATGCGACGAGAGTTTCTATTCTTGACCATATTAATACCTGGTCCAAAGCATCCAAAAACATCTCTCGACGTTTTTCTACAACCAGTGATAAAAGAGTTGAAAGATTTGTGGTCAACAGGGGTGAGGACATATGATTATTCAACGAAAATAAATTTTACGATGCGAGCGATGCTTTTATGGACCATAAGTAACTTTCCTACATATGAGATGTTTTCTGGATGGACTACACATGGAGATTAGCTTGTCCATATTGTAATGGAATGACATATGAGTTTTAGTTGAAGAATGGTAGGGTTTTTTCCCGTTTACCGTAGTTGGTTCGATTGTCACCGTCGATTTCTTCCCGTTTACCACCCATATCGAAGAAACAAGACATTGTTTGGCACAAAAGGGTTGTCAGAGACACTCCTCCTCCATATTTAACTGGAGAACAAATCAAAGCGCAAATTGATTACTACGGTGCTATAGAACAGCTCCTCGTGGTGGGAATTGGCATGTTCCCAGTAATATGCCTGATTCTTATGGTGTTCAGCACAATTGGCACAAGAAGAGTTTATTATGGGAATTGCCATAATGGAATGATCTTCTTTTGCGCCACAACCTTGATGTGATGCATATAGAGAAGAATCTTTTTGAGAAAATCGTGAACACTATATTGAATGTCCCAAGGAAGACGAAAGACAATGTAAAATCGAGGTTGGACTTACCTTATATCTGCTCAAGAAGTGAGCTACGTATAAAAAGCAATGGGCAAGTTCCATTTCCGATATTCAGACTGTCATTAGAAAAAAGTCTGTGTTGTTCATTTGGGTGGCTTCAGAAGTGAAGTTCCCTAATGGGTATGTTTCAAATCTCTCAAGATGTGTCGAGAATGGGAAAAAGTTCTTCGGGATGAAGAACCATGATTGTCATGTCTTTATGCAGCGACTACTTCCCTTTGCATTTGCGGAGCTACTACCTACAAAAGTACATGAAGCACTTTCAGGTAACTGATATAATACGACGCAAACATTAATTTATTTCTTTATATATATATATGAATATACTAATGTGTTTAATTTTTTTTTGTAATATATAAGGAATTAAAGCATTTTTTAGGGATCTGAGCACCCGCACTCTTACAGAGGAAGTTGTCCAACAACTTCATGAAAACATCCCCATCTTAATGTGCAACTTGTAAAAATATTTCCTCCTGATTTTTTGACGTCATGGAACACCTAGTTGTCCACCTGCCGTATAAGTCATTACTTCGTGGACCTGTGCATTATGGATGAATGTATCAGTATGAAAGGGCCATGTAAACTTTGAAAGGAAAAGCCAAAAACCTAACAAAATTTGAAGGTTCTATTGTTGTGGGAAGTTTGACGAAAGAAACATCACATTTCACATCATACTACTTTGCACCGAAAGTACGTACAAGGAAACGAGCTCCAAGAAGATATGATGATGGTTGTGTCGTACCGACATATATGGAAGAAGATGTTCCACACGTCTTCTGTCAAATTGGGCGATAGGGTGGGAAATTGAAAGAGGTTTGGTGGTCGAGTGATGAAGACGTCCATAGTGCACACCTTTATATTCTTCTTGTTAGGGTCAAAATCGGTTACGACGAAATTAACGACCAAAACCTCCCGAAAAAGTTAAGAATAAGGATTCAAGCACGAAAAAGTATCGAGAAGAAATCTAAGGATTCTCCGAACAAAGCAACTCCTTAAAACTCGACAATCGTCATCTTGGAAATCGTCGGGAAATCAAATAGAGTACCGATTTCTTCGAGAAGATGAAGAACAGCCTCAGCTCCCGACCTTCATCCGACGAGCATCGACCGATATGCCACCTGGTCCATCGATCGATATGCCTTACCCCAAATCGCGCAAAAGACAGTTCGACTCAACAAGCGACGAACCCTACTGCAGACAAGTTTATGTCCCACACGAACCACGAGACGGAGATTACTCGATTGGAAGCTGGGCCAGCGGTTATCACGAAATTTTTGCAGTAGACACAGCACCCCTACAAGCCGCGACTCAACCTAAAGATCCCGTATCGCTCGATAAGGAGTCCAAGCCATCGACCGACACGCCCTACAAGCCATCGACCGACGAAGACATCCCTCCATCGATCGATATCAATCACAGACCACCAACCGATCCTGCCACAACAACATCCGAGGTACAAACACCTAAATTTGATTTAAATTCACTAATTCCGGATGAGTTTGGTATTTTCAGGGATTCAGATGGTAATGCACGTGCTATAGATGGGAGAATCATTCCTATCTCCACAGAAGATGTTGCAGACTTACTCCAGATGGCCAATGGACCTATCATCGAAAATGACCCGAACCAGACAAAACGCCCATCGACCGATGCATGGAGACTAGCATCGATCGATACACATCGAGAGTATGGGGCGAGAGCTTTCCAAAACGGAGAACGTCGTTTCTTTTGGGAAAAGAAAGATGAATATGGAGTCTACAGAGATGAAGCTGGCCATGCAAGAGCAGTAAACGGAGACATCATCCCTGTCACCAAAGAAGATATGGAGAACTTGTTGAAGAGAGCCTTACTGTTTGGTCCCTCTTGTTTCTGTCTATGCTGATCAGTTTGCTAAAGGAGTTCCAGATGGCAAGCTCTACACACAGAAAGAAGTCACCTCTATGCTAGATGGCCTCACCATCGATCACACCTGGAAGTTAGCAACCATGCCATATGAATATGAGAAAGAATTATCAAGACTCCGGGGTGAACTACTCTGGAAAACCATCAACCCTGATTCAGTACGATCTGAAAGAGAAGCCCTTGAAGAAGAAATCAACACTCTGCGTGCACAACTGAAGCCTCAGCCACAGCCATCGACCGATATAGATCCCCCTGCATCGATCGATATACCCGTACCTAATCCGATCGAAGACCACTTCCAGAAGCTATCGATCGATGCCAAACCCAGTGCATCGATCGATACCCGTGCTCCAGAATTCTGTACCAGGGAAGAATTTGAAGAAACCACAGAACAAATCTACAAATCTATCCAGTTTTGTGAAGACGAAGATTACAGAATCCTGGATGAATACTGGTTTCGCATACACAGTGA